TCTGATCCACATCCATTGGCTCACTATTCCCAGAGAAAAGATTGTATCAGAAATAGTCTGAGATTCAGAGGACACAACACAAATTACTAAGAACCCTGATATGCATCATCATGTGGCCCCAGTGAGGGGCAAAACAACATGGAAGAGGACAGGTGGGTGAGCAAGAGTTCTTCTGTCAGCTTCCTATCAAGGGCTTTAACAAGCTGATTCTGTATGTGATGGAAATCTGACAGGGAGACTGTGTTAACATCACACTGCCATCCAGACAGACCACACCCAAAGCATAAGATTCTCTAGTGCAGTGCTGAAGCTGATGATATGTCATATGCTAGTGTTACTGAAGATAATTCACTGCAGAGAGTAAGACAGTTCCTCACCTCATTTGCTCTTCCATGATGAAATTACAAAGGATCCTGATATTTGTTTAATTTTTTGTTTATATGTTGGAATATTTATGCTTTAGATTTTGGTTTTCTTCATTTTGGTTTAAGGTTTTGTTAATTTTTGTTATTTGGTTTTAATAGTTTGCTAAGGCTATACATTGTATATAATGACTGCTCTTTTGAAAGACCCCACTGAGTAAAATGAATGTATTTTTATGAATAAAATCCAATTTCAGCTTCACTCTGAGACTCTTCTTTAGTCAGGTGAGGTTTCACACTGCTGTAAACCCTGAACTCACAGGCTTGGATGTATCTCAGCCAGTTCCAGGAATCTTGGGCTGCACAAGGATTTCTCAGCCATAGGTGTCAGTGCTATACAGGCGATGGCATCTTGTATGCAGATGGAATAGCCTACTCCATGGATACCCACTACATAATAGAAAAACTAGACATGTTGTATCCTTGACGTCATATATTTAGCTGCCAGTAAAGTGTGGTACACTGTACACACATGTTCACGAAATCATGTAGACAAAATTAAAGGGAAAAACAAGTATTTGCTCCAGGCCTCTCTGGAAATAAGAATATTCATTAAAATTGTATAAAAGAAATAAGGAAATGAAAAGCATTCTGCCTCTAATTTTCTTGAAATATAGCATGAATGAAAACTGAAAAGCAAGAGGAAGAGATAATTTCCTGCAAGACATGTTAGGATATTTTGTGGTGCTTTTCTTTATACATAAGGGTGTTTGGCCACCATGTACATGCAATTCCCACAGAGCCCAGGTGACTGATTGACACTTGTGAAGCTCCTCTGGAATAGATCTGACACCTGAGACTGAGAATGAGGCAGAGAGTTCATGTGTAAAGGAGGTTATCTCATGGGTCTCCATATTGGAGCTCTCATATCAAGGGTAAATAGAACCTGGTGTCCTCTGGTCTTCATGTGGTAGGGCTGTGCCAGATCTTGGCCCACAGAATCTAAGACATCTGGTTTTTCATTCCCCACTAGAATCTCTCCATCTCATATAATTACTTGTTTAATTAGATTACTGTGTGTTCCATTTGAGAAATTTCAGACATGTGTTATTTTACTTTCTTGCCCAGAAGCTATAGAAGCCTAGTAGGCCAGCATCAAAGCATCATCTAAAAAGCAGGTTAAAGGAATATGACCATGTGGAATTTATAAATAAGATAAGGCTGTTGTCAGGCCCAAATTACTCTAAAAGTTCTATACCTGTCTGGTGCATTGGTCAGGGTTTTATGGGGTAACAGAATGAATTTCTATAGATACAAAAGGCTCTATTTTAGAATGACTTAGAGGCTGTGGTCCAGCTAATTGAAATTTGGCTAGCTATAATGGCAAAGTCCTCGAATCCAGGAGTTGCTCAGTCCACTATGCTTGATGTCTCAGCCCATCAGCAGTATAGTCTGGAATCCCAAGGAAGTTGGCTCCAATGCCAGTGAAGGCATGGACTTGCTAGCAAGGTGAGAGCAAGCAGCTATAAAGCAAAGCTCCCTTCTTCCATTTCGTTATATGGGCTTCCAGCACAAGGCCTGGCTGAGATTACAGGTGGGGTTTTGGGGCTCAAAACATCTGAGTTATAGGTGTTTCTTTCCTCATCAATATCCAGATTAAAAGAGTATCTCCCTAATGCAAAGATCAGGACTACATGTGGATCTTCTCTCTTCAAATTAAGCAAAAGTACCTCACAGGCGTGCCCCTCCATTTTGGGGTTTTAGTGAATTCCAGATGTAATAAATGTGACAAACAAAAATAGATATCATATCTGCACCCTTGCCAACCTAACACACAATTATATCTTTTTATGTCATGATTAATTTACAAATATAAAACAATAACCATGTCTTAATATTGCCTAAACATGATATAATTATTGCAAGCACAACACAAAGACATTATGTATTAGACCAGCTCAAAAATATGTCTAACATGATTTAATTATCCCTTGTTGTTGGAGTTTCCTGTGTCCACCCAGCTCCTGCAGCTGCTCAGGCACAAGTAAACACACAGAGACTTATATTACTTAAAACTGTATGGCAATCTCCACGCCCTGCCCCCACACCCATCTGCCTGAGACCCCAGCCACCTCCTGAGACTTAGAGACCGGCCCCCAGCTCCCATCCT